CAATATCATTTTATCACCCAGCCCTACAAAGCTGTGGAAGAAAAAAAAGATTCATTGATGGATCGCAATTTTTCTCTAACAATTCTAAATCAATTCCGTAAAGAGTTGATGATGATGATTAGCCAATCAGTCGGCCACTTTATGGATCGTGATTTGCCACGCTTTCCTATTTCTGACTGCTTCTTTCAGTTGTTCCATGTTCAAGTTTGTGTCAGTCTTGATTGTGTCCAGCCATCGTTATCTCTGACGCCCTCTTCTTCTCGATCCACTGACTGCACCGAGCATTAAAGCTGTTTCCATGGAGTCGGCTCGCATGATATGACCAATGAACATGAGCCGCTGCTTGGTGATTTTGCCCTTTAGCGATACATTTTTTTTGACCCGCTCCAGGATCGTTTTGTTTCTGATCCTCGCCGTCCATGATATGCGCATCATTCGCCTCCAGCACCACAATTCGAAAGCACCGATCTTCCTTCTGTCTTTCTTCTCGAGTATCCAGCTCTCACATGCATACATGGAGATTGGGAAAACGATGGCATTGATTATTCTGATCTTTGTTACAATGCTGATGAGTTGATTCTGTATTATAATTAGGTTGTGATGGTGTCGTCCTGCATGGATGGGAGGCAGAAACAGAAAAATAATAATCATGTGTGCGCTGCTGAATTTGCTTCATTTGGACTATGATGGACAAACTTACGAATTTTAAAGACATGGCATGGAGCTGCGCTTCTCATCCGGTGTCCACTCTTCGAATTCCTGCCACGTCACAAAAACTTGATGCACCGAAAAAAAAACGAATACTCAAGTTGACAGATATGATGCAATGCTTCTTCTCTGGTGTGTGAGCAGATTCAGAATCACTAAAGAATAGGATGGCATTCGTGTGAAACATGGGCACCAATTACAATAGAATTGTATGTCACTCGTTGCTTGAGTTTTGCAAATGAGAATGAAAGTAAACTACTGCACACTCTTGCGAACAAATAAAAAGCCATGAACCATATGTTTTAAATGTATTTTCGAATATCCTTTTGACAAAGATTTTTGTTTTAAAGCCATTTCTCTATTAAAAGATAGTAAACAAACGCAATACTCACTTTTTGGAAAAGAAATTATTTTATTCTTCTTTATCTTTGTAATCCTGTGTCTTAATATTGCATCTAGAGCTTGTTCCTGCTTAATATGACTTTGTTAATCAGTTAAACTCCGCGGACCCGGTACCGGTACCCAACTTTCGCTTTAAGATTTAAAGAGCTAGCAGTACACCAGACCAAGTGTAGATTCTATATTTTATGCACATATGCATCACTTTGATTTTTACTCTACTGTACAAAGGTTATTTACACTTAAAAACACAGTATTTTGCATACCCAAGCTAGGTATTTTACATTGGTTCATTTTCATATTTTTCATATGACACATGTACAAGTTATAGCTCAAATGAAAGCTCTAGGCGGTGCTCATACGGTTCTAGCATTCTTTTTACTGAATTATTTTCTCATATCAAACAGTTGTCGAATGAATTTCCATGGCGCAGAAGTGAAAACAATACATTTATGATCAATAAGCAGCCCCAGATAGCACAGACAGCTGTCATCTCTTACCTTATGCTGTGTGCTTCAGGGCCATTTTCCTCTGTTTTTGAGGTGATGTGCAGAAGTAATCCTTTTATATGTCTGATGTGGTCCAAACAGTGAATTATGTTTGATGAAACAAAAGAATGTGAAATATGAAAACAATGATCGATCCCTGTGGCTTGTACAGCACCTCTCATCAGTTGAATAACTTTTGCATAGATTATGATAGAGACATTTTACTTTTTTCCTATGATTACAGAAAAGTGCAGAAACCACCAAAATTAATTAGAGCAAGCTAGACCACACAGAACCTGAAAGATACACTTTCAAATTTGAGTTTAACATTAGGCACATTCAAATCCAGACTGAAAACACATCTGTTTAGCTGTGCCTTTACTGTGCTACGTCCGACAAATCGCACTATTATGTTTTTTTTTCTTTTTCATTATCTTATAACATATTTTAACACATTTTTATGTGTTATATATATTTTTTATTCTTATTTTTATAATTCTTATTATTTGTTTTTATTTTTATTATTTGTTTTCATTTTCTTATACTTGTCTCTTTTATTCTTGTTTATGTAAAGCACTTTGAATTGCCACTGTGTATGAAATGTGCTATATAAATAAACTTGCCTTGCCTTTATAAAAAAATATATATATACAAAAAGCACCTCTTTTTTTTGGTGTTTATTATAACACAGACAACATATATTGATATTTTAAACCCTTTCAGTAGTGTTTTATGAAAATTCTAAGGGGGTTTCTTTTTAAATGACATAAATTTTTTGCATTTACACCTCTGGATGTGGATTTGGGAAGCTTTTAAATTTGGTTAGGCAAAATCCAGGTGGAAATCCCAAAATAACAGCAGAGTTTAACTGGTTAATGAAATAATAATTTTGAAGTTTGCAGCACTGTCATTTATAGATTCCAGTTATAATCAAACACCAAACTCCAATTCTGGTTAAAACGTAAAGTTGAAAAGAAGTATTTGCTCAGCCGATGCAATAGGAAACAAATGTCTAAAACCGTTTTGGACTCGAATTATGACCCAGAAGTCTTTAAAGATTCCCACCCCTATCACTACATTACTGTGTTTATAACGATCTTGTCTGGAATGATAATGAATGACTGCTGACAAACTAAATAAGGCTTGAAGAAACTGTTGTCTAGGAGAAACCCGAATCAAAGGACAGTTACCTTCACTTGAGTCTTTGTGTGAAAGTGCTGACAGCGAAGGGGGGCGTCCGATACAGAGCGGCTTTGGGTTTCTCATCATCATCAGAAAGCAGAGAAACCCATGGGACTATGGCGCTGATCAGGGCGTTTCGTCCTCATGCTGTTTGGCATTTGGTTGGGGTTAGTGTACTGGTCAACAGGGATTTGGGACTAATCTGCCAGTGAACCAGACTCGCTCTGCTCAAGTACGCGCTCAGATTACTGCACAACTGTTTACTCAAATCATTCCCCAAAATCTCAAACCGTTAACATGGGATGAAGAGGTTTCGTCTGGAGCGTGGGCTTTCAGATGGTCATGATCGCCCTAGTCTCGCATTACCTGACTTTTGACCCGCAACAACATGTCTTGTGCTCATTTTAGTTTATTCTGGCTAAGAACCTTTTTTAGACAGGATTCTAACATTGTTGACCACCATGAAAATATTCAAAGTGATGGTACATCTGGCTCAGTGATTGTGAATTTATGACTTTAAAGTGGTGTAGTGATTGAATATATCAGCTATAATATATTTCTATCCACTACAGTTGAATTTAAGTCAAGATTTTCGATTGCAAATAAATGCAATTATTTTTTTTTTTATTCTCAAAAATACTGGAAAAGCAATTATGCTTCATAAAAATGTTTAAGCGATAATCATTTTAAATAGAGCTGCACGATATTAGAACATTTTAACATTGCCATATATTTTTATTCTGCAATATGTATTCCGATATGAATACAATTTCACCAGATGAACTTATATCTCTATCTGGAAAGAATATATAATGTTAGATTGATTAGGATGATTCTGCTGTGGAACTGCATCTCCATTAAATCTAATAAGCAATTTATAAATACAATAAAGAAGAAGATGCAATTTAAATACACAGTTTTATAATTTTCCAAAGTCTAATAATATTCGGGTACGATTAAATAAACGATTCAATAAAATGACTCATTATTAATGTTACAGATAGTACATTTCTTATATCTGAATGCTTTTAAAATCATTATACAATTAAAGGCCTCAAAAACACATGTAAAAAATTAATTATAATACAAACTCAGCATTGCGTATCCTGCGATGTGTCTATTGTGAATGATCACATTGCGATATCGATGCTGAAACGATATATTGTGCAGCCATAATATTAATTATAGAAAAAAATAGAAATGGATAAAAAATCATTTAGAAATTTGCAATTTTTAGTTTGGTGTTTTGTTCTGCAGACTACTAATGGCAGTGCTTCTCAATTTAAAATACAAATGTTGTCACTTAAAGCATAAAATGACATTTGATCAAAATAATAAACGGTGTCATGTTTCCCAATATAATATATTAATTTTTAGACTGAATACCATACATTTGACCTTTTAGGAGTTAATAAATCAATATTTTGTGGAAGAACCCTGTGATTTTCAATCACAGCAAATGATATAATTTGATATTTTGAAATTTTTTTGTCGTTTTCTGAAAAAAAAATAAGACTTTTAAAATTTGGAATAAGTGTTTTTAACTGTAAAATGTTCATATTTTATCTCAAACACGTACATTACCTAGTAAATCCAGTACATCTAAGAATATTCAGGTGGTCATGAAATGTCATGAACTGACAACAGTTTAGAGTAGAGATGCCCAAACTAGGGCCCGCAGGCCAAAGTTGGCCCATGGTAGGCTTTGATTTGGCCGTCCCATCTAAAAAGAGAAGGGGGATTGATAGAGATTGCCATTTCAAATATATATTTGTTTGTTTTATTGTAAAGCTACAAAAAAGCTAACTGAAATGATATGTTAATGTTTCAGTTTAAAAGCTGTAGTTTAGTTTAAATTGTACATACTTTCACCCAACGAATAGAGGACAATGCAGACACTTTGGTGAGCAAATCAAGGCAGATTCTGCTTGACTAGTGTATTCAGCATTGAACTCCAGTGTCTTATAAATGTGATTGTTTTTATTGCAATAAGATTCAAAGTGATGTTTTCTATTTATTTTGAAATATTATTAAATAAATTATCAAATGACTCATGGCAACTTTAATGTTAAATAGTTTGGTATGTTTATCTTTGGCCTACGGCACTTAATGATATTTGGTTTGTGGCCCTTCACATGAAAGAGTTTGGGCACCCCTGGTTTAGAGCATCAAGGGTGTTTACATCTGCAAATCTGAATAGTTTGTGATGATTGTTTGTTGCAGGGGCTGTACGGAGGAGTACGAGATGAAGATGATGGAGCAGAAGGGAGAAGCGGAGCCAGTGGCCGCAGGCTATCGAGCAGGGCAGCGAACCCCAGTATGGCGCTGGGACAGTCCTCCTGCTACTCACAGCTCTGCCCAGCGCTGGACCCCCAGCGGACCCCCACCAGTCCCCAGCCGCACACACAAAGCTCTGGTTCCCGTTCCATACAGAGAGCCGCAACACATCTCTGCTAAACGGTGACACATTTCAGCATATGCTCGAAATAAAAAAATTAAAAAATCAGCTATTTGCCACTCTTAGTTTTTGGGATTTGTTTTTCTTCTCACTAGCTATTTCTGTCTCCTCCCACAGGCCTGTCAGTTATCCAGAAAACCATTACAGCGTGTCTCCTCTTGCTGGGGACAGAGGGCCGTACAGAAACCCTTCGGCTAGTTTCTCCAGTTCAGGCTCTGGCTTCAGCTCCACTGCGTTGGTGGTGCCAGGACTCAGTGGACCCTTCGTCCGCTATAAACCCTCTCGAGACGGGTCTGTTCTAATTCATTGTTGTTAAGATAGACTTGGGGAAAATATTGTCTGTTGGTATCTTAGAATAGAAATAGAGCAACTCGACTGGCACGGTGGCCCAGTGGTAGACACAAGGTAAACACTAAACAAAAGTTTCCATCTGAAGCTCCTTCACAGGACTCGACACTTGTAAGCACTCACTCCAACAGGTTTGTGCGGCTCTCTGTCTCGCCCACACTCGTCAGCGCTACCAAGCGACCAATCGCAGAGCTTGCGCAATTGTAGGCGAGACCGAGAGTCGCATGAGCTACACCATTGGAGCGAGTATTTACAATTGTCGAGTCCCGTAAAGGAGCTGTTGTTTTGTGTTTACTTCATGTAATGTAATGTAATGTGTATTTATATAGCGCATTTATTGTGTATGGCCATACACTCAAAGCGCTTCACAATCATGAGAGTGGGTCTCTCCACACCACCACCAGTGTGCAGCATCCACTTGGATGATGCGACGGCTGCCACAGGACAACGGCGCCAGTGCGCTCACCACACACCAGCTATTGGTGGAGTGGAGGACAGTGATAGAGCCAATTCGGTGGAAGGGGATGATTGGGAGGCCATGATCGCAAGGGCCGATAGAGGGACTTTGGCCAGGGCACCGGGGTTAGACCCCTGCTCTTTCACGAGAAGTGCCATGGGATTTTTAATAACCACAGAGAGTCAGGACCTCGGTTTAACGTCTCATCTGAAAGACGGCGCCCACTGACAGTGTAGTGTCCCCTTCACTTTTACTGGGGCATAAGGACTCACATAGACCTCAGGTTGAGCGCCCCCTGCTGGCCTCACTAACACCACTTCCAACAGCAACCTAGTGTTCCCTAGTGGTCTCCCATCCAGGTACTAACCAGGCTCAGCCCTGCTTAGCTTCAGTGAGTAACTGGTCTTGGGCTGCAGGGTGATATGGCTGTGGCCACTTCATGATTAAAGTTGTTACTCATCCACCGGTTCCCACCTCAAAATGAGCGAGTTTGAGCTACTTGTACATTTAGGTAGCGTTTAGAAAAAACATAACTCCAATGAAGAAACTCGACACAAAGGCATATAAACACCTCACTGCCAACTAGTGTTTCAGAAGAGTTATTGCAGAGCAACACAAACAGCTCGCAGAAGTATACATGCACGGCAATGCGCAAGGCTTACATTGTGGGTGATGCCGATCATTTAACACAGAAGTATAAACCAGGCTAAACGCATCTGGGCATGGTTTTGATAGCCTAGTATGAGTACACCCTAAGAAATTGCATACTGTCAAAATGCTACATTTTAGCTTAAGGAAAAATTATTTATAAAAAACTGACATTTCTATATTAGACTTACTCAGTGACTAAGTGTACACATAGGGATACTGGGTGTCCGGATCCCAAAGTTTACTCTTTTTTTTTTTTGCCCATGCCGAATGTTATTGCGTGTATCCACTTTTGTATTCTTATAGACTGGCTTTCATGGCTCAATAGATGATAAAAACATAGTTGTGTGTGTTTTTTTAGCTTGTTTACTGTACACCATGTCGAACAACAGCTTTCAGGCATCGTTCTGTTTTTATGTTGTTAATCAGAAATGACAAGGAGGCAGTCTCCCACAATAGAAAGTTAATGGAGAGGGTTGGATTGTTTTTGCCTCTGGGGTGGGCATGGCTTAAATAAACTCTGTCTCTATGACAGTTCCTGTCGCTAAAATGATTAACTGATCCAGTTATTGGAAACTTACTTATTGGATGGCATTTTGACACTTCAGGATCACACACACACACACATACACACACACACACATTATACCCTCTGCCTCATGACCATTAAACAGGTGATCATTCTTTTTTTTTTTTTTTTTTTTTTTTTTTTTTTTTTTTTTTTACATATATACTGATGGACAGTGTAATATGAATAGAAAAATGTTCATTTAATTTGAACTGAAATTCATTAATGAGTGAAATAAAAGACCACAAATGGTCATTCAATTTAGGAGATGTTTACATGACAGTTTTCAACCAAAACAATATACATTTTGGCTCTTCCTTTACACAACAACCTCAGTTTGAGGCCTGAAGATGCATGACGTTCAAGTTGACAACCTAAGCTGTACTAATGAAGCAAATATGAGCAGGCACATTCCTTTACAAAATGATATCGCCAACTACTGACCTGCAATGCAAAACAAAGTGTTTATTATCAACAGGGTTTGCATGAGGGTTTGTATCCTGGAAAATGCTTGATTTTTAATATAATATTTTCAAGGTTAGAAAAGTGCTTCGATTTTGGACAAAGTGCTTGAACCTGCTTGAATTTGAAATTGCAGGGCTTGAAAGTGTTTTAGTTGCATATGCGCCCAAAATCTTATCTATGCAAGCTCAAAATATATTAGGGAGCATTTGTGCGTGTGCAAAAAGTTGTTGCCATGCGACCAGTTTTCATTGCAAAATGTTCACCGCATGTGGGTATTTAGGAGAAATTAGGTTTTTGCGTATTTAGAAGACATAAAAATGCCAAACGCAGTGCTTAGAAATAGTTTAAGCCAGTTGACATATAACTCATTTGTGTATGTAATCTTTATAGCAGTAACGGTCTTTTCATGAGATGCAATGTCAGTTTAATCTTAGTGGATGCAAGCCCTTTTGTGAGGGTGAACGCGCTGCAGTTGCACGAATGACAACATTGTGACGTTTAAATAGAACGTCTCACGATGAAAATGTGTGGCAAACGCTGATACCTGCAAACTCCATCCCTCAGGCTTTACAGTGAACGGCTCGGACCCATAAGGATTTAATTTGTTACATGAATTTTGAATAACAATGCACATGAAATATCATGAACGACTGGTCATAAAAGTTTGGTACTACACCCAAACAAAATCTGACTGTAGGAAAGAGACCAAAACTTCAAATATACTTTAAATAACTAAACTTTATTTATTTTAGTTTTTTTTACCATTTTTGGGCGAACTATCCCAATAAATCCATGCTCCAAAGTTTTCAACAATTTAAGTTAAAATGTAACATTGTGTTGATTAAAATAGCACAATAGATTTAAATGTGAATACGTTCATACATTATATATAAATGTAATTTACTGTGGTTGTTAGGTGCTGGAAAAGCATAAAAATGCACCTTGAAAGTGCTTGATTAGTGCTGGAATTTGAAGTTGTAAAAGGTGCAAGAACCCTGTACAATACATATTATATATGTTGTCATATTATATATACAGTAAATAGTGTTCAAATATATTTTTATTTTTATTTATTATGTATTTTTGCAGATGTTTACAATACAAAAATACAAACTTATTTTTTTGTCTTTTTTTTTTTTTTACAATGTTCATGTATCCTAATACATTAAACAAACTACATTTGTACACAACATCATGTCATCTGCAAGACCACAGAAAATGCAAGCACAATGGTCAAATCCATCCATTTAGCATATTTGTTTAGAAATACAATTGAAAAGTGCAGTGCAGAGGAATTCAAAGCTTTCAAAAATTCCCATATGGTATTGGCATTACAATGGGAAATTCAGAAGAACTCATGTGGCTTAATAAATCACACTTCCCAATTCTTCAGCTTGTTTTTCCATTGAAAACTAATATAACAGAAGTTGTAAATGTCAGGGTGGAAATGAACATCTTCAGGCAGTGTTTAACATCTTCAGTGGGTGTGACTGATGGTAAAAGAGGCTGCAGTTCAGGCATGTTTCAGCTAGACCTCCACTGCTGATTCACAGGCCTATTGTGTGTGTGTATTGTATATGTATATAATGCAGAGGTCATGGCATGTACAGGCACTCATAGTGCACTGTTGTGTGCCACCCTGTTTAACCAGAAGAACTTGTTGTGAATGTTTTTCCCCCAATGTTGAATCCCTGAATTGGTCACTATAAGACCAGGAACAAAAAAAATCTGTTATTTTCCCTTCTTGAGTCCCCTATTCAAGTCGCATGCATTCATATTTAATGCAGTTATAAAAAGTGGGTCACTGATTAGCATATTGTGGTTGTTCTGCATCTAATTAAGGCTTGTCCTCTTCAAACACCAGCCCCATGACAAACACCTTCCATATTTAGAGAGCTCGCAAAGAGATTTGAAGGAAGACTAATTCAGCTTATTGTGTTTTTGGCCACGTTTACACCTGCTATTAAAATACATTTTCGTCACAAGTGGACAACACTAAATATTTTTGTAAAAGAGGTCTGAAATGTTTTGACCTTGTCCACTTTTGTCCTTTTCCAGTGGTAGTTGAAAACACATTTGATATGATTGCTTTTGAAGTGGAAACACTTTTGTGGTCAAATGTATCCAAACATTTACTAAAGACCACTTACTCTCCATCAGCTGACGCAATGTGGTATTTATGGGGCATGTTGTGAGCAATAGCATAAGAACAATGCATCTCAGTACACAGATTACAAATGAAACTGTAGTCGCCATCTATGGCGTAACATGGGTGCATTCATTCAACACTATTCACTATACACAGTTCTCTTCAGCAGACCAATTATGACCCCAGCTGACCCCCCATTTTCCTCAATTCCCCTTCATTTTTTGTTCAAAATGAGTTTGGAACTAGTCAAGGGAAAGTAAATTATGACCGAATGCTCATTTTTCGGTGAACCTTTTAATACCAGGTGAAAATAAGGGCATGGATGTGTGCTGTCATAATATTTGATTTAAAATTTAAAGGTTTCTGGTGATTTCTTGATGTTCATGATGCCTATATATATATATATATATATGTTACATTCAGGTAGTTAATTCCAACTTTAAGCAGACTTTAAAGTACTGTTAATTTTGTTACTTATTTTTTATTTGCCTCTTACGCATGTTTCACACCGCAAACAAAGCGTAAGCAGCGTGTGCGCAGTGTGTATGGAGAGCAAAAGCAGCGTGCAGGCATTTGCTCTTCACACCGACTGTATCTGTTCAGGTGCTCTCGGTCAGAAGACAATCGCCTGTGATGTCATGTCATTTTGTTTTTGATTGTCAGGATGCCTATAGTTATAAAACAATATAGTTATAATATTATTTATATAATATAGTTATAATGATATTTATACATGATCAAACTAGTGTGCAACTAGTAGCAGAACTAGTACTAAAATTGTTTTAAATTTGCTTTACTAACTTTGCTTTGCCCAACTAAATATTTATTAATAATAATAATAATTTGTTACATTTATATAGCACTTTTCTGGGCACTCAAAGCGCTTTACACATAGGGGGAATCTCCTCATCCACCACCAGTGTGCAGAATCCACCTAGACGACGCGACCGCACACCACACACCAACTGATTGGTGGAGAGGAGACAGAGTGATGAAGCCAGTTATGATATGGGGAGGGTTAGGAGGCCATGATGGACAGGCCAATGGGCAAATTTGGCCAGGATGCCAAACGACTGGGATTTTTAACGACCACAGAGAGTCAGGACCTTGGTTAAATGTCTTATCTGAAAGATGGCGCTCACTGAGCAGTATAGAGTCCACGTCATTATATTGGGGCATTAGGACCCACACAGACCGCAGGTTGGGCGCCCCCTGCTGGCCTCACTAACACCACTTCCGGCAGCCGGCAACCTAGCTTTCCCATGTAGTCTCCCATCCAGATACTGACCGGGGGCTGCCCTGCTTAGCTTCAGTGGGTGACCATGTGAGAGTTGCAGAGAGCTAGCTGCTGAGCTTGTTGCCGTTTTTAATCGTTTATGTTCATTTGATTGACTATATAAAAATCAGTGGGTGTAATCGATGCATGTATTGGGTAAAATTGCTACTTTTTACTGTCATTCAATGTGTTTTTGGTCCTTATCAATACACTGTCACTTTAATTGTGAGCACTGTCACTTCTAAGTGTAAGCAGCGTGGCAAAAATAGACCCAGCGCTGAAACTATCGCGGCACTGCTGCATCAGCGACGATCACGCCTCACGCTGACGCACTGCTTCTGCGTGCGGTCTGATAGCTCAAATCTGTTAACATGGATGGCAAAAAAACACTCGCTGCTCATGCTCTGCTCACGCTTGTGGTGTGAAATAGGCTTTAGTCTTGTGTTTGTGTAAATGTCCTTGTTAGTTTTTATCATATTTGGTCAACTTTATTTCTTTAACGGCTGAACACTGTAGTGTTAGTCAAAGTAAACCACAAGTCTAGTCTAGTTTTAGTCAAAGTAAAACAAATATTAGTCTAGTTTTAGTCTTAATCTAGTTTTTAATTTAACAAAATGTTTATAAAAAAATTAGACTAAAACTAAAACTAGACTAAATACTTGGTTAACTTTGACTTAAAACTAGAATGTTCAGCAACCAAAAGTCTGCATTTTAGTCTGGTTTTAGTCAAAGTAAACTACAAGTATTTTAGTCTAGTTTTAGTCTTGGGCACCTAAAGGTCTCTGCATTTTAGTCTAGTCTTAGTCAAAGTAAACCTCAAGAATTTTAGTCTAGTTTTAGTCTTAGTCTAGTTTTTAATTTGACTAAAATTAGACTAAGACTAAAACTGGACTAAAATACTTGGTTTACTTTGACTTAAAACTACAGTGTTCAGCTACTAAAAGTCTGCATTTTAGTCTAGTTTTAGTCAGAGTAAACCTCAAGTATTTTAATCTAGATTACATCTTGGGCAACTAAAGGTCTCTGCATTTAAGTCTAGTCTTAGTCAAAGTAAACCTCAAGTATTTTAGCCTAGTTAAGGTCTTAGTCTAGTTTAAACCAAAGTAAACCAAGTATTTAGCCTAGTTTAAGTCTTAGTCTAGTTTAAGTCAAAGTAAACCAAGTATTTTAGTCAAGTTTAATCTAGTCTTGGTCTAGTTTCAGTCGCTCTAATTTTAGTCAAAGTAAACTATGGCCCGGTTTCACAGACAGGGCTTACACTAGCCAGGATTAGGCCAAAGTTCAATTAGAACATTCAAGTAATTTTATAAACATGCTTAGAAAAAAAATCATTACTGGCGTGTATCTTGGGACAAAACAAAGGCACTGATATATTTAAAAATCACTTTACATTTTAGTCTAGGACTAGGCTTAATCCTTGTCTGTGAAACCGGAGGTATGTGTTTTAGTCTAATTTTAGTCTTTGTCTAGTTTCAAATTAAACATCTAGGTGTTTTAGTCTGGATTTTGTCTAGTCTAGATTAAAACCTTGATACCAATAGGATCATTATTGATTTACCTTACAGTTAATTCATAATTAGATTGTTTTTACTTAGATTCACCTTCTCATAATTTATGTTCATGTCTTTCAGGAGAGGCTGGCAGACTCGCATTACTTCTTAACTGTACTGCTCATTGTCTGACTTGATTAAATTCTTTCCAGTGATATCTTTTCACATTGGGCTACTTAAAAACCAGAACTAAGTGCCTCAGAGCCCAGGTTGAATAAATTGAATAGCCCTATGGCTTGAAACAACCAAAAGTTGACAGCTGCTGTGCTCATCTGCTCATCTAATGAATCATAACTAAATCTGTGTTGACAAGAATAAAGAGCCATTTTTTCGTACATTTTAGTCATTTAGTTGTCAACAATATTTGTTAATTTTCTTGTGTTTCTTAGTTTTAGCAAAAAGGTAGTTGATAAATATATTTCATCGTTATTTTAATGTTTTTTTTTACTTTCCCTGACTTGTAAGCAGTTTCAAATGCATTGGAGTGTTGTGGAGAGATGTTAGGGTACTGTTGGTCCGTCAGTATTTGACACGGGCTTTTTCTGGTGGTGATTCAGCGGGATGTGCTAATGAGTGCTATTAATAGTCCTGTCAGATTCAGCTGAACATCACTCAGACACACAGGGTGACGAGTGACAGAACACTCAGGCTCTAACAGACTCAGTACTCATTATGGAGTGTGTATGATGCAAACCTAGTCACACTGTTTCAAAACTGGCTCCTGATGGGTTTTTTAATCTACAGAATGTGCTGGAATGGGTTTGTTTTACTGTTGGCATTTTGCTTTTGCAAAATTTAGCTTGAAAGATGTTAATTAACTACTGTATATAATATCTTATAAGTTTAGCTAGATGATTTTAGGAAGCCAGAATATATTCAATGTTAACTTGTTTGTGTTTGTTGTGTGTGTGTAGGTTTGGGTCTGTACAGCGGCCTCTCCAGCCGTTTGACCCACATATTACTGTTGATGTCTCAAGCGGAGAATCATCTTCTGGTTTCACTAGTCAAGAAAGCACAATGGAGCGCAACAAGTCAGGTAAAAAAAAAAAAGAAAGACACTGCAAAACTACAAAGGCATGGAGTCTTTAAAACTGTTTGGTTTGTTTTTTGTATATGGCACTATCACTTTGTGAACTCTGCCCTCTGCTGGGTGAACTCGGAAAATATGCCTTTAGATGGAACAACTGAGAAATTAAAAACCTTTCTTTAAGTTGATTTCTGATTTTAAATTATAGAAAACTAAAACTTAATAGTTTTATAGAAAAAAAAAAAAAGAATATTAAACTAAAAATGTAAGCCAATACAGAAAACAAGGGGGAAGAAACAATAATAGTATAAAGCGGTAACACTTTACAATAAGGTTCATTAGTTAATGCATTTACGAACATGAACTAATCATGAACAACGCATGTACAGCATTTATTAATCATAATTGAACATTTACTAATGCATTATTAACATCCAAGTCCATGCTTGTTAACATTAGTTAATGCACCATGAGTTGACAAACTAACAATGAACTACTGTATTTTCATTAACTAATGTTAACTAACATGAACAAATACAGTAGTAAATGTATTTTTCATTGTTTGTTCATGTTAGTAAATGCATTAATTAACATTAACTAATGAACCTTATTGTAAAGTGTGACCCATAAAATAATACTAAAATGACACTAACAAAATGACTGACTCAACAACAATCTTATTATTAAAAACAAAGAAGAGAGGCAATCTCTTTAGCTAACTGCTGACTTCAGTTGTCAGATCAGCTTTTAGTGATTAATTCTGGTGAACAAAACCAATCTGAACAGTTTTTAATTATGTAATAACATTTCAATTCAGTGATGTCTCACTTTTCTTTTTACTTCTATTTTTACTTTCTTTATCATTTTTTTTTTCCGGTTCAGCTTAGGTCAGACATTAAAATGTAGATAATATTGATACATATAGAAATATGCACTGCTACAATTTACCAAACAAGAAATGATCAGGAAAACATAATTATACACTAAATAAGTATACAGTATAAATAAAAGGTAAAATACAACATTTATACACAAAGATATACAAACATAAGATAACAAAAATAAAATAATCAAATAAAAATTTTTATTGAATAAATAAATAAATATATAATACAAATAAAAGAAAGAAAAAATGTCAATTAAGATACAACTGTCTCCTTAAAAAAATGAGAAAAGGGCTCCAGACTTTCTGGAACTGTTCTGGCTTTTGTTTTATTGCAAACCGAATCTTTTCCATTTGAAGAGGATGTAGGAAATCAGAAACGCATTGCCGAAAAGAAGGGGGAGCTGCGGACTTCCAATTCATAAGGTTGCAAAGGCTACACTATCGGCCTGTAATTAATTTAATTTTAATATATTCTGACAGGATTCCAAACTGTGCTGTCAAGGGGTTTGGGTTAGGGATGCAACGATTATAGATTTTGGTTGTGCGATTAAAGTCTGAGGAATAATCACTGTTATCACGATTATTATGCATTCGTTAATTTCAAAACACAGCTAGTTTAGAAAATCACATGAAAACTCCTTATATTTTAAAGTGTTGTTTATTGCTGCTCAGTAACCTAAATAATACGACACAAAACAATAATAAAAAAACAAACAATAGTCCAATTCTCTTTGGACTTAAAAATAACCGAAAAAAAGTTTTGGCATTTAAACATAAGTAAGAATTTTACACTAAAAATAAGTGTCAATAAATAAAAAAAAACTTTTAAATTAATAAATAAAATTGAAATAAATAAATTTTAAATAAACAAAAATTTATTAACTTAAATGAATAAGTTACAATTAAAATAAATTAATACAATTTTTAATAAATAATTAAATGTAAATAAATTAAAAATAAATGAAAATAAATAAATGAAATTAAAATAAAATAAACTAAAAATAAAAATAAATTAATAAATACATTTTTAAATAAATGAATTTAAAATAAATGTATAAATAAATGTAAAAATATTATTTTAATAAATTAAAGTAATAAATAAATGAAATTAAAATAAATAAATAAAATGTAACATTTATAAATAAATGAATAAATCAATAAGTAGTATTTATCTAATGTAAATCTAAGTTACATAATAGCTACGTATTTCCCTTTTACAGTGAAGAAATATACTCAAAGGCTGCTGAACCTTTTGATCAACTATATTATAAAATTGTGTTTTATTTTTCATTTTGTATTTTTTTACTCCGTGTATGGTGCTCGCCAACCAGTTGGTTTGCTAGAAAGTACAAGTATGTCGCTCCATATATGCAAGCCACGCGCCTCTATTGGAAATAACGAACTTTTTGCGCGCGCAAAAGATGTGATATGTGACTGGCCTTTAGTTAATAGCCTCAGCCATAGTTAATCCAGTGTGCATAGTGTACAAGCTCAGAACTTCAAACTAGCACTCAGTTGGCAAAACTTTTCAAGTGGTGCTCGCTGCAGAGCCATTTGAGGAGAGCTGAGCTCCAGAGAGGGGGAGCTTAAGCTTGAGCTCCACCTTTTTTGCACTTCTTCTACGAGTGATGTCACTGGGGGTAGGGTTAGGGGTGGGGTTGGTGTACGCATTAAAACAGCTTACAGGAGGAGGAGCGACAGCTCATGCTCCCCCTCGCTGGAGCTCAGCTCTCCTCAAATGGCTCTGCAGCGAGCACCCTCTCAAACTTTTAAGCCTTCACAATTAATTAACCGTGACAAACTAAAGCGCAGTTAATAGTCTAACCGGTTTATCGTTGCATCCCTAGTTTGGGTCTATTGACAATGAAAAAAACACAGAAAAACACCCGAAGACTTTCCCCCAAAAATCAGACAATTTCAAACATGACCACAAAGTTTGTAACAGTGTGGCTGGTTCGGTTGTACAGTGAAGACAAGTTGGTCAAGATCAGAGAAATTTTATTTAGTTTAGTTCTAGATCCGTGTATTCTGTAAATGACCTTAAATTGAATGAGAGTATGCCTAGCGTTTATTGATGATGAGTGTATTCTTGCAGGAATAAGATCCCAATATTTTCTTCAATGATTAAATTCAGTTCCTTCTCGCGAAAAGCCCTCAGTATATGTGTTGCGGGGGACTGTTTCATGACTTTCTTTATTATTTTTTAGACATTCAAACACAATAACTTACAAATGTGGTCCAACAAACATTCACGAAACAATCGACAATAAAACATGCAACATACAAACAATTTATTTATAAAATAAAAACATTTAATGTCAGCACCGGTAGCCTAGTGGTACTGTGCGCTGACAAATAGCACCAGTGTGCTCGTGGCGACCCGAGTTCGATTCCCGTCTCGGGTCCTTTGCCGATCCCTTCCCTCTCTCTGCTCCCAATGCTTTCCTGTCTGAATTCTCTACTGTCCTATCAAAATAAAGGTGAAAAACCCCTAAAAAAATTATTATATAAAAAAATAAATATTTAAAAATACAAAATAATAATAAATAAAAACAAAAAACAGAACAATAATCTTTTGTTTTTATCTGCATTAGTCTAGTCTTCTTCAATGTTGATCAATTTTGATGTCTCACTTTTCTGTATAAGAGGGGCAAGAAATCACATCACTAATTCACATCACTGTCCTCGTCACATCTTAGTCTTAAAAAGATAGCAGATAAAAAATATTCAGCGTTATTTTCATTGTCAAATTGAATCGTGAATTGATTGAAGAGAGAATCGAAATGCATTGCGAAAATTTCAGAATCGATGCAGAATCATTTTTCGATTCACAATGCATCAGTCTAATATTACCCTGGTAAAAACTGAGCTCAGAATCAATTGAAGTAAAATAGCGATGCGTTTTGAAAAATTCTGCAAAAGGTTTTTCGGCACAGCTCTACCAGTGACCGCTTTTACACCCTGATTTCTGACCAAATAAAGACGTTTATACGGTATTTATGTGATATTTTAAAAAGATGAATTGTAAAGCGCATGTAAATAAGTGTTTGTGTGTGTTGGACAGAGCCCATGTGGCATGTACCTGCATCCTCGAGGGGTGTATCTGCGAACTCAGCTCAGAGAAGACAGACCCGACAGGACGGCGCAGGGAAGGACTCTCCCAACCGACACTCAAAGGTAAAAAGCCCCCCTCATCATTATATTAACCCTTAATTAAACTGATGTTTGATTAATAAATCCTTCTCTTTATCTCAGGGTGAAACACACTACTCCAGTCACTCCAGCAGTAACACACTCTCCAGCAACGCTTCCAGCAGTCACAGTGACGAGCGCTGGTTTGACGGGGTCGGAGGTGGGGTTTCTGGGGCCCTCAGTGACCCTTCAGACCCAGATCCTGACCCCATGGGTAAAGGAGGATCCAGTGACAGTGGAATCGATGCTTCCCTCTACACGCCGAGTCCCAACACTAAAGGAGCCAAACCCAGCCGCAGTCTTGCAGGAACACCCCACAAACCCTTGCACGGCTCTGCTACATACAGCGGCCTGCAGGAGCTGGCAGGAGCCGGAGCGTGGACGGTCGGAGAGGGTCGACGAAGAGAATCATCACCCATCATTGCCGCATCAGCAAATCAAAGCAAGAATTACAGAACGCGTACATTCCCCCCTCCCGGATCAGCCAGTGCTGATAACTTTAAACCCAGGTATTGTATTTATTTATTTAATAAATGTACATAGTAATAAAACATCTATAACAGGTAAAACTTACTATAAAGGCTGTATTCATAATTTTGTTGAGTAAAAGTTGAGTAAGTCACTTCAAAAAGTTATTAATTGCTAATTAAAGCATTAAAATGTGTTTAAAAAGACCTTGTCGGATAAGTTAAGTCAATCAATTAATACTGCTTAAAATTACTATAAATCTCAAAGAATAGACTAATTAAACTCAAACATAGGCAAATTTTAATTGTTTTAATTTTAGCTTTTACTAAAAAAAAAGTGAAACATTATATGCATAAAATTTCGAAGTAATAACAGCATATTTCATACCATATATTAATAATATACCATATATTAGGGATGAAAACAATACAGTCGGTTCGGTTCGGTTCTGATGGCTTGACACATGTGTTTTTCTTTTGTTATTCTATGTTTAGGCAATAGGATAAAAAAAAATAAAAACGGTTTATTGCAATACTCCTTTATTTTACGTTAAAGCCATGAGAAGTACACTAGTTCCTGTTGTATAAAAAAACACTGAAATCTCACAGCTGCTGGTAGCCAGCATGTACAAACTGGGGAACACATACATTCCTACATTTTGAAAGTAAACATGTGAAGTTATTTAACATAAATTGACTATTTCAAATAAACATATTTGTACTTCAGTAAACATAAATAAACCAACTAATTATCTCGGTGCTGAAAAAAAAGTGCGAGACGGTAGTCTGTAAGTTAACGCAGATTGAGTGCTTTTATAAGATGACCAAAGTCTGCATCTCCATTCACTAAAACGGCTGAAAATCTTTAGCAATGAACACCCCCACTGCCTTTGTTATTAGTATGTTTGCTGGAAGAATTCAGCAAGGGATTGTTGTTTTTTTTGGAGAACATTATTACCTTCTCTGCTATCAGACAGTGATATTGCTTGGTGATGGCGCCGCAGATGTGCTGTCATGTGCTATCATCAGACATACTGTGAAAATTTCCTTGCTCTGTTAAACATCAATTGGAAAATATTTTAAAAAGAAGAAAAGAAATATTCGAAGGGGGCTAATGGTTCTGACTTCAACTGTATATAAAATAACCCTTAAGGTCTTTACATTGGCTCCCAGTTACATTCAGAATAGATTTTAAAGTATTAGTACTTGTCTATAAATCACTAAATGGCCTAGGACCTCAATACATTACAGATGTGCTCACTGAATACAAATCTATTAGATCACTCAGATCTTTAGGATCAAATAAACTAGAAATTCCAAGAGTTCAGTCAAAGATTGTGTATGAAATGTGCTATATAAATAAACGTGCCTTGCCTAAATATATTAGCTTTAGCAAAGAGTCATTTGATAAATACAGTTCAGAAATCAGTTTAAACTTTTATGAAGTTAAGCTTAAAATAATAACGATCACACTTTACAATAAGGTTCATTAGTTAATGTTAATTAATGCATTTACTAACATGAACAAACAATGAACAATACATTTACTACAGTATTTATTCATGTTAGTAAATGTCATAGATATATACATTAGATGTCGCCTACCCTGTTGTTGTCTATTGGAAGGAATGCGTCAAAAGAGCCACCATTTTGGAACAGGGTAGCGCTCCTTTGAAATGAATGCGGGACCAAGCTGCAGTGGAGGACTGTGGCCATCCAAAGCCAGAGATATACACGTATATATGATCGGGAGTTTTCCTGGATGTTAGTATGCAATATTTTTTTTTTAATTATGAAAATTATAATTTTACATCATAATTTCTACATTGATGGATCAGTGACCGCACGGGCATTCCTGACAAAAAGCTTGTGTTTGTGTATGGAAATGTACTATTCACCCTCCCTGTTAAATTTGATCTAATCCGTGTCCTGAAACACACCTCCTCTCCTGCTTTCACTTCTCACACTGACGGAGAGAGTGATTCGTTTGTGAATGAATCTCCGTTATGAACGACTCGTTCACTAGCCGACAGTAATACAAGTTTCTGGCACCGCAGCATCTCGTTGTCATAATTCTTTTGCATTGTTTGCTGATTTTATTCAACAAAACTAGCATAAGCTGAGTATTTAGTGCGAGTTGAAGCTACTTTTGGTGAATGCAGTGTGACTGTATTATCATCAATAACGCTACCTGTTTGGCACAAATTTCAGAACATACAAAAACGTAAAAAACTTACTTACCTATGAAATGTTCTGCCTTTGTGCTTTGTTTTCTTTGTTTGCATGTTACTACACTCATAGACAGTGATACAGTCCCACATCTTCACGTAATAACACTGTCTTGTCTAGTGCGGTTGAATGACACTTGTCCTGGGAGCACTGTACCAATGTGGTGGCGCTATAGACGCATGCTCAGGGTCCCTATGCGATATCTAGTGTATATATCTATGAGTAAATGTTAGTTAATGAAAATACAACTGTTCATTGTAAGTCATGTTAACTCATGGTGCATTAACTAATGTTAATAATGCATTAGTAAATGTTCAATTATGATTAATAAATGCTGTACATGTGTTGTTCATGATTAGTTCATTTTAGTAAATGCATTGACTAATGAACCTTATTGTAAAGTGTTACCTTAATAACAGATGTTCACTTTGTGTTTGGCTTTTGTTTTGTAATCATGCAGAAAAAGGATAAACATTTATATTTAACGACTAATATATCGGCTTAACCAGTTATATAATCAGTTTTAGTAAAAAGAATTCCACATCAGTGCATTCCTAAATATTAGTAATTACACTGATATAAGTTTTAGTGTGTTATATATTAGGCTAGTATCTTGTATTCTGGTTTCGTATCTTGATATCTTACTGTATTTTCAGTACTTAAGATTGATTAAATTAACAAGGGTTGCTTATTTTAGTTGGTTTTCTTGTGAATTAAAAATGTAATAAGAAACCTTGTTGAACTGTTATCATTTTTCAACTTATAATGCAGTGTTTTTATTTAACATTAAAAATACCTGTATAACACATTATACAAATAGGCTTTACGGAAAGTGTTACAATGTCTGGCGATAACAGATTAAAACCACAGCTATAGTGTTTTATAAAGCTTATTTTTCACTGTTAGTAATTCTGCGTAATCCCGGCCAGCTGGCATCTGAATTGTGTGTATCTGTGTTTGGATTTAGGGCCTGCTATACTCCTCAAGGATATAAGACCCCTGCTGTGGTCGATAAACCTCGGCCTTTCAGATCATCGACGGTCACGCCTACATCAGGCTCCGCCCAGCTGTCAAGCGCAACACAGCTCTCAAGCTCTGCCCCCAAGTCATACAGTAAAAGCAAGAATGCCTGGCAACAGGAGGAGAACAGCACAGCAAGCTGCAGCACTACTGATGGCAACAACAGCAAGTATGTGTTTGTACTAGTGTCGTTTTTGGTGAATGGTTTTCATTTGAGTTTTAGTCTAATCTTTGTATGAAGCTGACATTTTAGTTTTAGTCACATTCAAACTCCTTTTAGTCTAGTCAGGTTTTAGTCGAATAAAGGTCTGAGCATATGCTTTTTATTTAATCAGAATCATTCATGACTATTTGTGTCTAGTTTTAGTTGACGAAAACTGATGATGTTTAGTTTTAGTCAATAAAAATAGCATTTTAGTCTCTTTAAGTAATGAAATTCTGTTTAACCTAGTCAATATAATATCTAGTAGTAAAGACAAAACCAAAATCTTTTAGACAAACCCATTTCAAACACGGTTATATCACAGGGTGATTCCAAAAGAATATCACAACTTTGAAATTTTGTATTTAATTACAGAAACATGATGGAACTTGGGTAATTAATCAATGTGAAGAGTACTTAATGTTTTTTTTCAGTAGAAAACAACTTCATAGATGTCCAATATGACCCCCTCCAGACACTCGAGTGACATCAACCTGAAAGTTGTGGTGTTCTTTTTGCATCACCCTGTATTATATTATTGCTACCTTATTGACTCAATACCACAGAGATTCCAGACATGGCTGATGACACTCTAATTTGAGCTTAAAGTATTTAAGTTCGACCGACCGAACATGATATAAGAACACACACACATAAGTGAATAAAATAAATACAAATAATTTAAAAAATAAACAATGAAATAGCATCACTTAACATTGCCATAAAAAATTAATCCAATCAATTTTAACAAAAAGAAACAAACACAGAAACACCTGCTGACCCAGCCGAGGATCGAACCAGCAACCTTCTTGCTGTGAGGCGAACGTGCTACCCATTGCGCCACCGTGCAGCCCATTTTAGCAGTTTTTATTCTGTAAACCACAGTTTATACACAACAATATTGCATTATAAATTTAGGTATAGTCATCATCACATGACCAGCGTTTTCTTCGTATCTTGTCTCGTTTACCGTTATGTGATAAAGATTCGTTGACGAAGATATTTAGTGATAGTTTTCGTTGACGAAAGCAACAGTCACGTCGACATTTTAGCAGTTTTTGATCTGTAAACCCCATTTACTCTGTTGTATCCGTCAACAATATTGCATTTTAAATTTAGTTATAGTCATTGTCCAATGACCAGCATTTTCTTCGTATCTTGTCTCGTTTACCGTCATGTGATAAAGATTCGTTGACGAAGATATTTAGTGATAGTTTTCGTTGACGAAAGCAACAGTGACGTCGACATTTTAGTAGTTTTTTTCTGTAAACCACATTAAGTCTCGGTTTTATTCTTCAACAATATTGCATTATGAATTTAGCTATAGTTATTGTCACATGACCAGCGTTTTAGTTAGTGATAAAGGTTTGTTGACGAAGATATTTAGTCATAATTTTGTTGACAAAAGCAGCATTAGTTTAGACAATGAATTTTTATGGATTTTCCGGAAAGCTGTTTGGATAACTGAGGGTCCTGATTATTGTGCTTTCAGGCAGGTGGACTTGAATAGTAAGAATGTGTTTGGACAGCCTCGGTTACGAGCCTCTCTGAGGGACCTGCGCTCGCCCCGCAGATCTCACAAGAGCACCATTGAGGACGATCTGAAGAAGCTCATCATCATGGACAACCCCACTGAGAGTCCGTCACGGGATGCGGTGAGCACTCGCTCTATGCTAAAAATACTCTGCGTGTATAAATGTACAAGCTTTGGAAATGTATTGAAGTAACATACAAGCCATTCATTATTTGCTCGATTAAAATGTAGCATGTTGTAGACAGACGCAGGTTTAAAGGGATAGCTATCTAAAAAACTGAAAATTCAGTCATCGTTCACTCTCCCCTGTTCCAAACATGTTTGAGTTCTGTTAAAAGCAAAAGAAGATATTTTGAAGAATGTTTGAGAGCTTTAGCTATTATCCCCTTGCATTTGTTTTTGCTGCTATGGAAGTCAATAGTTACAGGTTTTCAGCTTTAAAACATCTTCTTTTGTTTTCATGGTTTGTAACCACTTTTGGGAGAATAAATATTTCATTTATAATCAATTTAATTAAAATTTTTAGGTAAACTAATTCTTTTATGGATGAACAGATGTGTTTGCATACACTTTGGCCATTAAAGCTCATTCAGATTCTGCTATCGTACTGATTTGTTGTTGTTGTGTGTGTGTGTGCTTGTCTCCAGTCTCCTCATCGGACACTGCAGCGCACTTTCTCAGATGAGAGTCTGTGCAGTGGCCGCAGAGACTCCAGTTATGCAAGCACAGCTCTGTTTGAAGGACAAGTGCCACCCTGTGACCTTCTCTTCACATGCACACTGCCTACCCGACGCCATGGGCACAACACCAACCACGGGGCGCTTATGCCCAGTAAGAAAGGTTGGTGGGGTTTTATTGGTCATTGCTGTGTTTTGTGATGTGTGTTTGAATAAAGGGTGCATTTCTCATTGCTCCAGTGCCATTATCTGCATCAGAGTTATCTTTGACTGAGGTGAGGGATAAAGTTCCCCCTCTAAGAAGGCTGGATCCTGGACTCATGCCTCTTCCTGACACTGCCTGTGGTCTCGAGTGGTCCAGCCTCGTCAATGCAGCCAAAGCTTATGAAGGTACGAGTGAGTGTTTGGATAATTCTAAGCCACTGTTTTAAGTCTAAATTAGTTTCAATATTTTATTATTAGAAATTTTTGCAGACATTTACTTGAAAATACACTTTTTTTTAAACATAAACATAAAACTTGCATTCAAACAATGAGACATTTGAAAAAAAAATTATAATAATAATAAGAAAACAGTCATAAAAATAATAATTAAACAGAAAAATAAATGTGCATTCCCCCAACCTACCACCCACCAGTGCTATCAAACAATAAACGTAGGTACTAAAGGCATGGCAAACATATTAATCACAAGTATGTAAAAAGGAATTAAAAGGGGACCAAAATTTTTTTCAAATAACAAAACTTTGTCTATTAGGGTATATCTGATTTTTTCCAGATGTAATGTACAGGTTAACTCTGTCAGCCGTAATTTAAGAGTTGGAACTTCTTTTTTCTTCCAAAACAAAAGGATGAGTTTTTTGGCAGAGATCAACCCATATCAAACAAACTGTTGTTGTACCCGTGTAAGTCTCAAAAATTCTTCTAAGATTCCAAATATAATTAATATAGGATCTGGTTCAATTGGAATGTGTAATGTAACTGAGAAAACTTGAAATATTTTGTTTCAGAAACTGTAAAATGGGACACAACATAGGAATGAGACAGGTTGGAATCTAAAAACTGACACACACTGGGGACACTTGTGGAAATATTTTATTCATTTTACACTTTGAATAATGAAGCATAGGAAGCACTTTAAACTGAACGTGACAATGTCTTGCATTAATGGAACATCTATGAACCAGTTCAAGACTTTGTTCCCAAATTTCACTTGAAATTTCTACTCCAAGTTCTTCTTTCCAAGCAGATTTAATGTTCTCCATAGATGGACTTTTCATCTGTTCTAAACCCTTGTAAAGGAAGGAAATGGTACCACCATCTCTTAGACATTTTCCAGAAATGTGTCCATACATAAATACATAAGTGACGCTGTGGCATAATTAGAAATGTTAGACTTTACAAAATCTCTTATTTGAAGGTATCTAAAGAAGTGATTAGAAGGAATACTGTATTTCTCACACAGCAGATGAAATGAAGCAAATTTTCCGTCTACATATAATTCCCCTACTTTTCGTAATCCTACACTTCTCCAAAACTCAAATGCATTATCTAACAACGAAGGGCGAAAAGCGGGGTTAGCTGAGATGGAGAGCAAAAATGACATTTGGGTGAATTTGAAATGAGTCTTTAACTGTTTCCAAATATGAACAGAATTATGAATGACGGGGTTACGATTATGAAATTAAGTCTAAATGAGGTATGAGTAGTATGGAAGACCATTTTCAGACAGAAATATAATGAATTTTCAAGAATGTTTTGGTCAGTGATTAATAAGAGATTAATATGGTACAATTATGAGATTAATAAATTGAAGTTATGAGATAAAAGTAAAAAAATAGGATGTAGGAATGATTCATTCTGAAAAAGCTACAGTTAATAGGTGCTATGGTTAATCATAGTTACAAGACAAGTTCAAATCATGAGATCAAATCAGTTAAGTAAAGTTTCACAAAGTAATTTCGAAAGGAACACGTGATATGATTGACCGCAGCTGGTCCCTATCGCTAATCATTAGCTAGCCAATCGGATTATTCTAGACTTAACATAGATATCCAGCCTAACTTTATTCCCTAACTTAGTTTTGGAAGACCTTCCCCCATCCATCCCTTATCTCTCCTCCTCAATTCTAAAGTCAGGCGACATGGTGGCTCAGTGGCTAGAACTGCTGCCTCACAACAAGACGGTCGCTGGTTCAAGTCCCAGCTTAGCCAGTCGGCACTTTCTGTGCAGAGTTTACATGTTCTTTCAGTGTTCGCCTGGGTTTTCTCCGGATTCTCTGGTTGGGAACACTTTATTTTAATGGTCCACTTGAGAATTAGTAGACAGTCTGCTTATTATCTGTTGATACTGCTGCTAAACAGACATTTAACTGACTATAAGAAACTTTGCAAGTGCATGTCAAATTACTAACCCTAACCTAACAGTCTACTTATAATCTGATGAGAATTAGTTGGCAGGCAGATGCAATGTAACTTAAATTCAACAAACGACCACCAAAATAAAGTTGGACCAAGTTTTTTTTAAATAATCCTCATTTGCACATATCTGTAAAACGGCCAAAAATGCTGTATTTTCTATACCAGGTCAGCATTTGCCACTGTCATCTTGTAATGCGAAGTAAATCCACAATTTTCTGAGGAAACATTAGCAAAGAAATTACTAACAACACTACCACAGGCCATTGTTGAGTTTGTTTGCATGTGTCTTTAATCCACACTTATTTTGCAAATGGCTTCTCAACATGTTTTTACAACAGTCCTATGTAGTCTGAAAGGTAATAAAGAGCCATTGCTTATACTGATAATCGTAGCGATGAACTGTGTTAGATTTGTTTTTTTGTTTTGTTTTTATAGTGCAGAGAGCTGTTTCTTTATTCTCATTGTCTGAATCGAATGCGGGCAGCAATGAGTTGAGACCAGCAATCAGTCCAGTGCACTTCCACACGCCACAGACGCCTCGCACAACTCCTACTTTCAGCAGGTAACACACACACACACACACACACTCAAATAAATAAATGTCATATGATGATATACCGTTGTTATATCAAGATTAAATTCTTATCATATCCTGATGATGATATATATCATTTTCAGTATGGATATATATATGGTGTATAAGATTTAAATAATGAAATCGTATTAGCATAAGCAATGTATTTTGCAATCCTGCAAGTTTTTCTTCATATTGACGAATGAATTCCTCTGATCATGAATTAAGTGTTCAAAGGTTGAGAAGAAGAGTCTTTGATTTGTGTGTTGCAGTGAAGAGGTTCCCAACGATCTGTCTGGCCGTCTGTATCATCTGGAGTTCATGCTGAAACAGCTGAACAATGATCTGGAAAAAGTGAGTTACTCTAGAGGAATCTGACCAGCGCTGGACAATTTTGAGTGTTTTGTAATTGAATTGTCAAACATTTTAGCACTTGTTGATTACTAAAATGGAAATTTAAGTTTTATATTATTTTTACAAACCTGATACGTGTGCAAAGTTCTCTTATAACTTAGAAGTTTCTTTCCGTTGTTACAGCAGATCCTTATCTATTGGGGTCTGTGAATGTTGATTTTCATTTTATTGTTGTTGGCCAGTCTAGGAGTTAGCATCACACTGTGCACATGGCAATACATTCATTCATTTTCTTATTGGCTTAGTCCTTTTATTAATCCGGGGTCGCCACAGCGGAATGAACCGCCTACTTATCCAGCAAGTTTTTACGCAGCGGATGCCCTTCCAGCCGCAACCCATCTCTGGGAAACATCCACACACACATTCACACACACACTCATACACTACGGACAATTTAGCCTACCCAATTCACCTGTACCGCATGTCTTTGGGCTGTGGGGGAAACCGGAGCACCCAGAGGAAACCCACGCGAAAGCAGGGAGAACATGCAAACTCCACACAGAAACGCCAACTGAGCCGAGGTTCGAACCAGCGACCTTCTTGCTGTGAGGCGACAGCACTACCTACTGCGCCACTGCTTCGTACATGGCAATATATGGTATCAAAATAAATGCACTGTTGGATGTCTGAGCACAACGAATGGTGAGATTTGAGTGAAGAATTCATTAAAACAAAAACCTCCTAGAATTAATCTGTGGATTAATCGGTCGAGAACAGATACTGGATTGTTTTTCTTACCCTGACCTACAAAAATGCAAAGTTCTCTTTAGAAATCAAAGAAATGGAAGAAATTCAGATGTTACCTGGCCTTTTTAGATGACATCCTCATGATCATGTTTCTCTCGTTCTGTCCACCCTTTTAGGAGAAACAGGACAAGGCTGTATTGTTAGCGGAGATGGCTAATCTGAGGCACAACAACCAGCGCCTGCAGGAGGAATCACAGTCAGCCAGTGAGCAGCTCCGCAAGTTCAGCAAACTCTTATCCTCTACCATCCCTGAGAGGAAATGACTGCTCCCTTTCCTTTGTCAATACACATTCACGTACCTGTACTTTGCCTCATGTGGCACGTTTGATGCCAACTGCTAATTTAATTCAGTCTCTTATCGCCCAGTCGCTTGCCCTCCGCCCCCCCACACACATACACCCCAAACTGTGAGATTAATGAAACTGCGACGGAGGGAAACCCAGAGAGAGAGAGTTGACGTTGGTCTGCCTGACAACTTGAGACTTTAAAGCTTTAACTTAAAGCCGGTACAGAAGTACAGATGTCTATTTTTCAAACAAACTCACCTCGAGTCCTAGCTTGAACGAGCGAGCTTCTCATCTCCAAACGAACTACTTTCTGAACTATTTTCTCATTGTAGATTTATTTTTGTACTCAACGAGTCGACACTAAGCTTGAGCCAGTAAAACTGAGAGGCCTATTTACTGCACAGTCAGCTCAACAGCCAAAAAAATACAAACTTGAGCCACGTGAGAGATCCTACCCTTCCCAGCATGTGCAACATGTCGAGGGAAATCACGGTACTGTAATTGACAGAAGAGGTACAGCGCTTTGGGAACGACTCGCCGATAATACGTCACTGTAATTATAATTACGAATCGCTTACTCTCATGTGCTGGTACATTAAACGCTGTTGTGTCCATATTTATAGTGGCGAATGTTCATCGTCATCATCAACCAAACTGATTCATCATCCAAACAAACCTTCGACAATGACTGAACGTCCTCTGCAATAACGTTTATTAAAGAGATGGAGAATCGCCACCGCTTTCGAACAGAAAGACGTGACCGGTGACAGCAACCGCTACTCAAACTGTGATGTTACATCGTTTCCTCTGCTCGTGGATTGTGTCCTGTGACAGGAAATGCCACTTGCTCTTTTATGTATAGTTTCGGCATAGCACTGTGTGTAAACTTGGGCTGTTCTGTCAGTTTCCGACACTGTATATGTATATGCAAAGCCGACACTACGAAACCCTAGTCAGCTGTGGTCCACACAGACTCTATTTTTCTATTTGTATTTAGTTCAGGTTTATCAGGTGACATGACTGTTGGCAATAGATGGCTGTTTTCAACTTCTAGACAGATCATCGTGTTTACATAACAAGGGCGTTTTCACACCTGACTCGTTTGAAGCCTTTGTTTTGGAACCTGGCACATTTTGTCCCATAGTCTGCTTTGTTTAGGCATATGTGAACACAGCAGTCAAGCTGTTAAAAACAACTGATCCAAGATGGCCTGAATGATGTTGCTGAGAAACCCAACAGACCAACAAACTGGTCTCTATCACAGTGAGTTTATATTGTTGATGACTCGCAAAGTGAATTGTGGGATAACCTCCATCAAGTTGGAAGCTTGGCCAGAGGAGCTGTTCTAATTTTTGTGAACTACAACTTATACCATGTGGCTGCTTTACCACCTCACCACCAGATTCATTTAGGTCCAGGGTTCTCAAAATTGCCGTAATTACAACATGGCATGAACATAGCAATAAACACGACCAATGAGAGGACGGTTTACTCACAGGGCGACTTCAATTAGCAGTTCTAAGTCTGATAGGCTTTTACATAGAGACACTTTTTAATAGTTCCTATAACTATTGACAGAAGCATCTGCTTTTTTGCCATATCTGGACACAGCAGGAACCCCTTTTGAAGGGGATTACATTAACTTCAAAGGAGTGTCTAACCTAGCACAATAGGAACTACCCCACATAACAGTGTATATTAATTAGCGGAAAGTGTTTCATACAAAATAATAAACATTTTTTTGCAAACTATTTACACATTCCACGAAAACAGAAGTAAATAAACTGACAGAAATCTCAAAGCACTTTTCCATCTGCCTTGAAATGTTGGAAGTTAGACGTAGCATACAAGTATATTAGCATGGAGCACTGAGCAATGTCCTTTACCATTCTTCTGAAGCACAGAAGACAACAATTGAATTAGTTACAATTCATGGCGAGGTTTAGAACAATATGCTTTTTGATTATTTTTGTGCAGTTTGTTTTGTATTGCTTTTCTATATTCTCTTCAACTACTGCACATTGCAAGTGTGCCTATTACCACACTACTTGCGATAAAAATTATGTTGCAAAGACAGTGAACATTGTGAAACATAGATGTCAAAATTATACTTGAGCTTTTTCCACACTTTCAACGTGGTTGCTCAAGAGTAGGGCCAGAAAGAATCAGCTGACATTGTTTGCTATTTTTACGAAGAAATTTGTGGATTTATGCTAAATGATTTTAGAAGTATCATAGCTAAAAACTTTTTAACTTTAGCTTTTTAAATTTTATTTAATGTTTACAATGTAAATCCAATTAGATCCACTTATTTGGTAAACAAAGCAAGTCTCTCATATAATATATCTACTAAAAGATGGAAAATACTACTTTACTATCGGTATTATAGCTGAAAATGTATAAATTTACACACATTTACACGAGTAAATAAATAGACTCAATGATGGGCTAAAATTTGTGGATTACTGCATGCAGATTTCGTGTAGATTTACTTTAGAGCAAATACTGGTGGTGCGTACGCAGCCAGGATAATGTTCATCAGAATAGTCCCTATACACACATTTCGTTAATTAACCATTGCGAAATCCTCAACTGTAACGTATTCAATCAAACGACAGACAGGTGTGAAAATGCCCTAAGACGAGCCACACTGTAATTGATGACCCACTCTGGAAAATCTTCAAGAGTAACTGGAATAGCAGTCAGGCTGGATCGCCTATGGTTTATCATGTACCCTGTGTTACTCTGTACATGTCTGCCTTAAAAGTGGTCAAAGGACCAGTGATGTGACTCATATCAGCTCTCTCCATCCCTTTAACCTGACGTGACTGGAACAAAAAAGATCTTTCCTCCTCTCTCAGGACCCGTAAGCTGCCCTCTCGATGACCTGACTTCTTCATCTCTGACCTGTTTATTCACGTTAAAGCGAAAGCACTGCAACAGTCAGTTGACTCCATTGTATTAGCCGTCATAGCTGTAAGTGAAAAATGACTCTATACACGCCTGTGACAGTAACTAGCATTGTAAAACGCTACTGTTTTCTTGTTTATTTATCAGGTGGGAGATATTAATAAGACAAACATTCATTGCAGCTGTTTAGTAATGTAGTTGTACATATGGTGATTTTATACAAGTTTGAACTGCTAATACCCAGCAAGCCTTTTTTGTTTCTAGACGATGTCTAATAGACATCTAAATATAGTCGTCTTGGCTAAAATAAGGCGAAATTTGGGCTGTCAGTGATATTTAAGATATCTAAGAATAGGCCAAAACTAGACTATTCATCAAAAAAACAGAAATGAATGACTACACATATAAAGTCTAATTGACGACTAGTCTAGTTCATACCCGTTAACCCTCTCGTTTTTCCTGTATTTCTCCCGTATTTTTAATCTTTCTATGAAGGGTGGCAATAAATAGCCGATCCTCCCTATAGGCAACCCATACCGCCAAACCACCAGGCTCTTAAACATGAATCTGTTCCATGCCTTCATTTTATTTAGGCATGAAAACCCTTTGGCTGTTTCTCAATTCCAAAAACGCAGAGAACGAACTTGCGTTCTTCGGTAGAGTGGTCTTGCCAAGTTACCTCGAAAGAACGAATTCTGGAGACATGAGATGCTGCGTTCTTCCTGATGGTCACATGACTTTCACACGTTTTTAACAGACCATGCTTCAAACATTACAGCATTCATACACTGATTTACTGTTTTTCCCCTTTTCACTATATATACTTTGCATAAAAACCTCACAAATATACGTTGCACAATACAAGTAAAACTAATTCTAATAGAATTTTCAGCAAATAAACACCCCTAATGTGTTTATGTCTTTATTAAGATTTTCATGGTAATGTTTACTTTCACCGTCTCATTTAGGGAAACTCTTGAGATAAACAAGTTCTATCTCTGAATAGTAATAATAAATCTATATAAAAACAATGCGCTTCCCACCTCCTTTATTCAGCCGCAATGACTTCCGGGACTTCTAGGGCGAGTTTTGCATCGATGCGTCCTCGATATAAAAAACACATCCTTAAACTTTCAAGCCTACTCCGTTATTACGGTCTTGAGTTTTGGAACTGAACTTTGGCGGTTGTTGATGGCGTTACACGAGAACACAAGGACGCAATAACACTGAAGAACGCATATTGAGAAACAGCCTTTGAATATATCAATATAAAAACGGCGGGATTCCCTTCCTTTTCATTACAGATGCCATCGCTCCCCGTATGAAATCCTCAAAGCGGGCAGTTCATGTAGTGGTGCGTGACTGTCAGACGTGCTCCATAGTAATAAATAGATGCTGTTTCCTAAACAGATTCTGTACACGCGGTTTGAAGCGCAGCGAAAGTGGATACTTGGTTTTGGGTGCATGTTTGAACAGACATATACACACAATAAGAACAATCACATCTAAACATGTCGATCTTGGTGGTTTTTTTTTTTAAACACAACACATTTTGTCTTAAATGAGCATAAGAAGATCAGATGGCAATCGAATGCTTTCAATATAGATGTGTGCATTTTTAAAGCGACTCCTCTGGTATTTAATGTTATCAAACGAAAAATCTAAATAAGAGATTTATTCTTGCTCTTTAATCAGAATGTTTAAGTTATACAGTGAAAGAAGGGTTGATGAGATTTGATTACTTGATTTAATTTCTTATAATAGCTATTACATTTATCAGGCTAAACTGTTTAATTTATTTGCAGCTTTTTCTAATGTGTACTATTTATTCTATTCTTTGTAAATAATAATAATTAAAACATTACTGACCATTTCAACTGTTTATTTTTATTAAATCAGCTCCAGATGAACATATTTAGCCCAATATTTAACTGACAGTTCAAGTTTAGCCTTGTTTTAGCCAAGCGGTCTACGTTTAGATATCTATTAGATGTATATTAAACAACATTGCTTGCTGGCTAGTTACGCTTACATATTCTCCCCATGAGGAAAATAAAAAGGGGGGGAAGAAGTGATAGTTCACCCAAAATGTTCCACTTTTTCATGGATGGATATTTTGAAGGGAAAAAAAAGTGTAAAAAATGTTGAGCCCCCATTGACTTCAATTGTATCCCTTGTCTGTAAATGAGGAGGCGAAACATGAAGGTGAGTAATGACAGAACGTTTTGGGTGAACTATGTCTGGACATTATTCATCACAACCTGAACTTAAACAAGCATATTATCATATATTATGATGAGCTCATTCACCCCATCTTTTAGATGATTTTTTGAACGTGTTTTATCAGATTCTCATCTCATTGCTGTGAGTGACTTCAGGAACTTCACCCACTCTGTGCTCTTTTCTGTCAATGAAGTGGGAGGTTTTTCAGACTCTTGGTGTTTCGCTCAGTTCTGGGTTACTGGGTGTCATATCTACACCATAGATAGTTGTTCTCTGATTTCTGTTTGTGTGTATGATAGGTGGGTGGAGGTGTTTTTTTAATTGAGTTTGCTCTTTTTTAAAGCTAAATATGAGTAATATACTTGTGAAAACATTTATGTGCATCTGTGTTGCGCATCCTTAAATCATGGCAAATTATATAGTCAAGCTGTAATATTTGAAGGTTTATTTTTAATGTGTAATATTTTGACTATTTATTTTGATTTGTTTATTATTGTTAAGTACACAGACAAATTCAAGGTGAACATGACAAAACTGCAGATTTGGTAAAAAATGATTAATGGAGGGTACTGACTTTATATGTGTGTTTTCTTTTTTAATTGGTTTCTTTTTATTCGGTTTGATTCCTGATCATTTGTACAAAGCTGATTTTATCCTTTTTTTTTACTTTATCTTTTTTATTTAGTCTCTGTTTCCATTAGCTTCATGCATGAAACAGTGGCTCCGATGCCTTGATTAACTAATAACTGATTAGTCTTTCAGTTTCTTTTGGGGATATTGTATCAACGAGTGTACATTTAATAAGTGTAAATTATGTTTTCATTATTTTATAAAAAAATATATATATTAAAATATTTCATAATGATACCAGTATTGATCATTCTTTTCTTTGACTAATATATACAGTTTTATGCAAATATCTGGGCAACCCCTCTGTGGCTGCATAATTATGTGCTTTTTCTTTAGAAAAAAATATCACATTGAAATGCCATTGGGTTTTTAGAGAAAGCTGGATAATGTCATGTTTTTCAGACAGAAATACACAGTGTAGCAGTTTTGAGATGTGTGAAATTTAATAACCTTTATTTAACCAGGTAAGTCAATTGGGAACCAGTTCTCATTTACAATGACGACCTGGCCAAGAGGCAACATGAAAAGCAGATGCAGTACAAAGCAGTAGGGACACAATACAATAACAATTTCACAAATGCAGATAAAAATAATATATAAAACCAACAAAAAAACTAAAAACAAGCACAGTGATCTTGAACTATTGACTGAATAGAATTTTTAAAAGATGATAGCGGAATGAAAGTGCTGAGCTTTAAGGTTTGCTGCAGATGATTCCAAGCATCAGCAGCAGAAAACTGAAAAGAGTAGCGGCCAGATGAAGTGCGAACTTTGGGTATGCAAAGGTTAATGAAATTACTAGAGCGCTGATTTCGGCATGTTTCCTGAATGTTAAGAAGTGATTGTAAATATAGTGGAGTTTATCTAATAAGAGTTTTGTAAATGAACAGAAACCAATGAATTTGACGACGTGATTGAAGAGAAGGTCAATTCAGTGAAGAATACAGTTGACAGTGATGAGTATTAAATGGTGCACCAGTAACAAAACCATTGCTGCATGGTAAATAACATCCAGTTTGTGAAGAAGAGTTTTTGAAGCTGATCTGTAAATTAAATCCCCATAATCCAGAATTGCTATACTGTTAATTTGACCAAATGCTGCTTTGAAGAGTGAGTAAAGGAAGATTTATTCCTGTAAAGAAAACCAATGCGGGCTTTAACCTTTTTGAGCAGTTCATTTATGTGAGTTTCAAACACCAGTTTCCCATCTAACCAGATACCAAGATATTTATAGCAATCAACATGATCAATCTCAGTACCGTCCAATGAGGAAATTTTAGGAGGAATCTCAACATGTGGTAAATTTCTATTAAAAACCATACATTTTGTTTTGTTAGTGTTTAAAATTAAGTGAAGATTGGTAAAAGCGCGTTGGATACTTAAAATACTGGCTTGCAATGAAGAAAGTGCTGTAGTCAGAGAAGAACTGGAAGTATAAATGGTATCATCTGCATATAGATCTATGTAATAATCACCTGCAGCAGAAGCAATATCATTAACATAAATATTAAAAAGTGTAGGCCCCAATATACTACCTTGTAGGACCCCTTTCTGAAGCAGCAGGGGGAAACTGAAACTGAAATATAGGTTGTGCATATGTTTGAGCACCCTCTCTGTTGTGTTTTTCAAAACCTGTAGTCACTTAAAGGGCCATGACACCCCCCCACTTTCGGTTAAAGTCTACTTCAGAATTTTTTCAAAAGATGCATGAGTAATGGGCGTGGAGCTCCGCGAGAATCGGGCAGGAGTGGGCGTAGCCAGCAGGGGAGAACGTGAGCGAACGAAGCTAGCTCACAAAATGAGATAAACCGAGAGGAGACGCATGAGTTTATAGTTTACAAAGTTAAAATGCAAAGAAATGAACAGTGATTTAATGCCCTGCTACATTTGTTATTCGTAATTTGCAACAAACCCAGTGGATCATGGAAACAAACACATACAAGCCTTCATGAACGGCTAAATACTGTGTGCCGTGGGTCCGTGACGTGTCTCTGGCAGGTCTGGCAGGTCTCATGAATAATTAAGCAGCGGGCTCTTCTCATAGGATAAGAAAACTCCGCTATGAATAATAATGAGAAACCGACGCGTCATCATTGCACTTGCAGTACTTCGCTACGTCGCCGATTTTGATCCCGCCCCAAAAATCATTTTAAACCCGGAAGCTGAAATTAGCTGACAAAAGCTCAAAATTATCCACTTTTCCCTACAATTAAAGCTGACAGGTGCTAACATTATCTTAACTGATGCTCAACACACACACATCTGTTAATATAAAAAAAGGTTCTCCAGGGTGTCCTTAACCTTTAATGCTGATTGATTACAACAGAAAATTGATTTGAGTGAACCTTAACAATCCTAACACAGGTGCATCATGAAAAAGGATATTTCAGATAGCTGATGGCTAGTTGTGCTTCTTCTTATTGTCAACCTGAAAATAGCAAAACCTCAAAAGATCTTCCTAATGACCTAAAATGAGGATAATTCACCAACATGAGTTGGCAGAAGTATGCAAAAAACTCTCAAAAAGGATTAAAGTCTCCACAGTCAGAAATATAGTAAGAAAATGGAAGGCCACAGGAACAGTGCTTGTGAATGAAAGATGTGCTAGACCAGGGGTGTCCAAACTCAGTCCTGGAGGGCCAGTGTCCTGCATAGTTTAGCTCCAACTTTCTTCAACACACCTTCCTGGAACTTTCTAATATACCTGGAAAGAGCTTGATTAGGTGGTTCAAGTGTGTTTAATTGGGGTTGGAACTAAAATATGAAGGACACCGGCCCTCCAGAACCGAGTTTGGACATCCCTGTGCTATACCAAGAAAAATATTTGAAAGGCAAAGGGGAAGAATGGTTAGAATGGTCACAGACAAACAACAGACCACCTCCAAAGAGCTCCAGGAACATCTTGCTTTTAATGATGTCATTGTAGATCATTCCACAGTCCAGCGCACTCCTCACAAAGGACAGCTCAGGGGAAGGGTGGTCCAGAAGATGCCTTTGCTGCGTTCTGCCAACAAGAAGAGTCATTTGAAGTATGCAAAGGCTCATCTGGACAAGCTTGAACCATTTTAGAAAAATATACTGTGGACAGATGCCACAACTATAGGCACTTTGCATGGTGGCATTCCAGGAGAAGCATCTGCTCCCGACTGTAATATATGGTGGAGTGTCCATCATGCTGAGGGAATGTGTGGCAAGCACAGGTGAAACCTTGTCAGAGTTAAAAGTGGCATGGATTCCACCCTGTATCAGCAGATTCTGACGTTCATGCTCGGCACCCATCTAACCTGACTGACTGAAATTTTGGAAGGAAGAATGGCCCAAAATGCCTTCAGCAAGACTTATCCTTGACTATAAGAAGCGTCTACAAGCTGTTATTTCAGCAAAAGGCTGTACAAAAGATTGATGTCAATATTATGTGGTGGTGCCCTCATTTTTGCACCTGTCTGTTTGTGTTGAGACTTAAATTACATTGCTTCGGTTGATTAAATAAATGTGATGCCAGAACTGCAATGTAGGGTATAAATATATATCCAGAATAAATTGTTGATTTGAAAGGCCAGTAGGCTATAGCTTGTAATTATGAAAATTATCAGGTGTAAATACACTTCATAAAGATAAGGAGAACGAATCTGGCAAGTTGATGACTTATGTCCTATGTTGAGGCTGTAAATCTTTAAAGGATTATACTAAAAGTATGTATCATGTTTACTGCGAGTACGCTGCAAAACCAACTCGTTTTTAATACAGTAAGAACCCAAAGGGCCACCTATTTGATTTTCAGAAACATCACCAAATCATTCAGTGTTAGTAGTATTGCTGAGAATCAGATGAGAAAAACAAAACTAAAATCTAAAATGTATAAATTTGGCGAGTACTTATGCATCTAATGAGGCATTGCATGCAACAACGCCATTGGTCTTATCTAAATATTTAAACAATATTTACTAACATAATAAACACCATGTCAGAGAAACACTTTCCAGGTTATTGAAAACTGTGTGTGTGAACGGTGGTTTGGAAAAAAAAATCTGTTAATAATTAACCAGGTCCTTGAACTGTAATTTACAACACCAACACAGACAATATTTCACTTAAACCTATTTAAAATGTCAAATTAACTTTTTAAACGTTTCATTATCAAAAGCTTTCGGAGGATAGATCAAGATCCCATAATGCAATGCAAAAGCATAAATTAGCAAAGAAACACGCATGAAGCACAAAATTAGGAAAACTGTCGATTTACAGATATTTTAGTGTAAAATGAGCAACCTGGGAACGGGGAACTGGGTAAGTCAAGCCTGTTTTTAAAAGGGAGGTAACTTAAACTCAGAGTCTGCTACGAATTAACATGTGTTGGTATAACTTTGTGAACCTAACCTGGTCAGGAGCAGGTTTTCTTCAGTAAACCCAGATTTTGTTTGTTTAAATTCTGCGCATTGCAAAAATAATGTTCCTACCAAGAATTTTGTATTATTTTAAGTACAATTATGTACAAATTGTTACATCGAGATAGAATTTGCTTTTAAGAATAATTATATCAGATATGTAAGGTAGTCTTGTTTATTTTGATTAGTTATAGAGCTCCTGTTTTACCCCTTTTACAAGATGTAAGATAAGCCTTTGGAATCTCCAGAATGTGTCTGTAAAGTTTTAGCTCAAAAGATAGACTTTTTCATTATCAATGCAGAATATGTCAGTTTTGGTGTTTAGGGAGCGTGTAACTCTCCGTGGCTTTAAATGCAAATGAGCTGTTTCTCCCCACCCACAGTTTCCACAGCTTCTCATGCTTTTCTCAGATGAACAGCAGTCATTGATAGAAACAGACATGGATAAGGCTGAAATACGGCTTATTAGTCAAAAACACCAAGCAAGTTTATTTGATGCATCTATGATGGAGTCTATTGAAATCTTTCTGAAATGATAAATTTTAGGCTGCTTTCACACCTGTGAATCGATTCAGTTGTTCCGAAACAGAGATTACAATTGTTACTTTGTTGCTCTTTGCCCTTTGAGCGGTTCACTTTCACATTGCAAAGTTTCTAATGGGACCAAAAGAGCTAAAACAAGTCACGTGCGAGTAAACTTCTTCACATTGGTCAGAGTGTCAGGGTTTATTTTGCAGCGTCCCGCTCAGCTGTCAGGAGAGGTGGTGGTTTGATGGTGATTGACAGGGTGCGCGCGCGATGTGTCTGAGGAGAGATGCGGTGGGGAGGGGTGAGAAGGGTGCGCGACGATGC